AGACAGGTGCAAAACAGCTATTACATTGAACTAAGCTGATCATTTTAAAATAAAATAAAATCACAATCTCAAACGCACTAATCAAGAATGTATTATTGCTATTTTGGTTTATAGATATGATTCGCGTGCCATTAGGCACGCGGGCTACTACCTAGTCCTCTTTGTCTCTCTGACTCCCCCCTTGTAGAAAACAGCTCCAATCACCAGCTTCAGGGAAGTTCAAATAAGTAGCTCAGGATTGAACCATGGAGTCCTTGGTAGTCTCTGAGATTAGTTAGCCTGACAGTGTTGGAGGGGGGGGGTGTGTTTTATTCTTGGTAGTTCCTTGATTAGGATATTGTTTGCCTGGTGTGAATTCCTGCTAATCTGGGAGTTGGCTGTTGGAGGGAATGTATTCTGGTCTTTTTTGTTTTGTTTTTAGCTTTTTAATTGTGTATTTTGAATGGTGTGTAAAATTGGTTTATCTCTGTGTGTCTATTGATGGCTAATTTGCCCAAATGCCAAGTTTCCAGGAATTTTTTTTTTTTTTTAGTTTTTCGATTTAACTTGGTCTAGGATGCTGTTTCCCAGTTGAAACTATGGTTGAATCTGTCCAAGTGTTGTGAGGTGGCATTTTCATTGTGCCTTCTTGACTGCTAGTTGCTGTTCATAGATGTACATACTCTGCTAGTCTTCTGTATGTGTTGTAAAGGTAAAGGTTCCCCTCACACATATGTGATAGTCATTCCTGACTCTAGGGGCTGGTGCTCATCTCCGTTTCAAAGCCAAAGAGCTAGCACTGTCTGAAGCCGTCTCCGTGGTCATGTGGCCAGCATGACTAAACAGCGAAGGCGCATGGAACACTGTGACCTTCCCACCAAAGGTGATTCCTATTTTTCTACTTGCATTTTTACATGCTTTTGAACTGCTAGGATGGCAGAAGCTGGGACAAGTAACGGGAGCTCACTCAGTTACGTGGAGCCATGGATTCAAACCGCTGAACTGCCGACCTTTCTGTTCGACAAGCTTAGCATCTTAACCACTGAGCTACTGCGTCCCTTTTGTATATGTTGTAGACTCCTGGTCCCCCCCTTTTTTGGGTCTACTAGGTCTTTTGGTTCACTGAAGGTGTTTTGGAGAACTTTAGCCATTTTATGTTATGGGTTGTTGTATGTGGTTGCAATTGTTGGTTGTTTCTGAGATATTTTTGGTGTATAGTAATGCAGCAATAGCAATAGCAGTTAGACTTATATACCGCTTCATAGGGCTTTCAGCCCTCTCTAAGCGGTTTACAGAGTCAACATATTGCCCCCACAGTCNAGGGAGAAGGAGAGAGGGAAGGAGGGAGAGAGAGGGAGAGGGAGGGAGAGAGAGACAGAGAGAGACAGAGAGAGAAGCAAAAAATACGGACATCAAGCAGAGCATAAAGGCCACAAAACCTTCCTGCACTTGAAGCCTCCTGCAGGGCAGCTTCACCAGAAACCCATTAAACTCAGCGTACTGCTCCACGCAGTCCAACATAAAGTTATGACCATTTGTTTAGCGACTGGAGTTATGGTGGTGCTGAACAAAGGAACGTAGGACTGATGCTCCAAGTTCCAGTTGTTGCAGTGCCCCCCCCCCCCGGCCTGGTCAAGTAAACAAAATTTGGGTGCTCGGCCCACTATCTAACAAGGATGATTGGTTGCAGCATCCTGTGGTCCCATGATCACCATTTGTGACATTCCCTGTTGGCTTCCCACCAGCAAAACCAATGGTAGGAAGGATGCAAGTCACTCAGGTTAAATCTCCCCCACTGTCCTTCGCTCACATACATTGTGCCTCCCTCCCTCATCGCATGCACTGCATTGTCCTCCCCCCTTTGCATTGAACATAACCTCCTTCCCACCCTCTTCGCTTGTAAACGTGCACTCACTGGTGCCATCCTTCCCAGGCCATTCCTGTGCTCACACACATGTACCCAGCCTACCCGGCCTTCTTTCCCTGGCCTTCCTGCACCCACATGAACCTAGTCTTCCCTAGTCTTTCTGAGCTCACGCCACTCATACTGCACTGCCATCTTCCCCTGCCCGATCTTGTGCGGTCTTGCGCAGGGTCTCCCCCGTGACCCACCACTATACCCCACCCTCCACACCTGGGACTCCCGGTCACTTAACGACCCACCAATTTTGGGGTTACAACGACAACTGGGACTGCCTAGATTGCCATCGCTAAGCAATGCAGCCATGTGACTGGCACTTTTATCATTGCACTGCCTAATAATGGCAATCCTGGTCCCAATTGCTGCCGTGACTCGAGGACTGCTTGCAATGCCAAACGGAACTGCATTTCTGAATGGCTTCAACTGCACATGCGTAGCGCTATTACGTTTTTCCCTCATGGACGAGGTTCTGGAATCGGATCTTGAAATCCTGAATACCTCAGAGCAGGCCCAGCCTCAAAAGCTACTGAGGCCACCGCAAACAAAGGGGCTACCTGGGATTTTATTTCCAGGGGTGGGCTGCTGGGGGATTTGCAGGGGTTCGAGAGAATCTCTAGCTAAGATTCTGTGCAGTTTGCAGAACCCCCAATCTCACTCCTGGCTGGCCCAGCCCACCCCTCCTCTCTCAGCAGTCCCCATGCAGACCCTTTTGGATGCAGGTAAGTTCAGGGCACGTGTGGAGACTTGGGGCAGGTGAAAAACGGGCGTACCAGAAGTTCAGGAACTGAAAACGGGCCCATTTCTGGCCTCCAAAGCCTGGAGAGGCCGTTTTCACCCTCCCGGAGCCTCGAGAAAAGCCTCTGGAACCCAGGGAGGGCAAAAACACACACACTTTGCCGTGGTGCAGGAGGCTTACTAGGCCACACCCACCATGGCCTCACCCACCCAGCAACTGGGCAAAGAACCCCTTGCTAAAAATTTTGAAGCCCACCCCTGCTTATTCCTGCCTAAGAGGCTCAGTAGAGTACAAACTTAAAGCAGATGCCAAAGAGTCTCTTACACACCTTCCCCACACCCTGGACCAGGATGCAGTTACCTGTCGGACAATGTTCTGTACAAGCTTGTCCATGGTAAAACCGATGTAGGCATGAATGGTGAACATCTCTCTCAAGGTGTCCTCATATTGAGTGGGGTCAATATTGCCATCCAGCAAATTCCTCACCAAGTCTAGGAAGGCTGGGTAATATTCCTCCAGCTCCACTTCACCTGGGGGAAGAACAGGAATCAGACACCCCCTGGAAAAAGATAAGGGCTCCAGCGTCTCTGCAGGAAGGTGTGATGCTCAGGTAGATGCCAAACCCGTTTCCTCACCTATCTGTGTGTGTGTCCAGTGATTGAAGTGCCTTAAACTATATAAGGGACACCAAGTGTTTAAATGAGATAAGATAACCTTTATTGTCCCTTTTTTCTGTGAACACACATTAAAAAATGAAGTTGTTGTCCGCTCTGAAATATGTATGCATATCCCTACACGTAAATGCACCTACATATACATGTGCTATACACCCATGTATGTACAGTACTGTGCAAAAGTTGTAGGTGTGGAAAAAATGCTGTAAACAAAGAATGCTTTCAGAAATATAAATAATGATTGTTTATTTNGTTAGGTTTAGGATTAGGTTTAGGGGGGTTAGGTTTAGGGGTTAATTTTAGGTTTAGCGTTTACAGCGTGCTTCTGTCTCCGTGCTGTTGTCGCCCTGTTGATGACGTCAGCTACGCGGTTTCATCGAGCGCGGTTTAGTCGAACACGGTTTTGTGGTGGAACCGGAATTAGAACATAGGGGGAAAGTGAGAGAGAAAGTCAAAGTCTCCACAGTTGGTAATTTGTTTCCTGCTCCATGATACAAATAGATTCCCTCTTGTAGATTCTTGGGGACCTCATCCCCAATTTTGGGGGCAACACTTTTTGGAACTTCTCAAAGAGCAATTGGCCTGTCTCTTCTAGCCCCCTCTCCCTCCCCGGTCTCTTCCCTCCTACAGTTCAATCTCTCTCTCTCCTGACCTAAGTTGAAAGCCCCCACTTTAAATGAGAGCAACGCAAGCTGCCTCCATTCTGCTGCGGGCCCATTCTTTCTCGGACAAGCACACCCATGCTGCATGGGGTAGGGAGGGGGATGGGGAAGGAAATCATTGCAGCCCCCAATGGGACCCCAAATGATAAAGGCTGGTTGGATAAATACCAGTGATACATATGTCGTCTTCCCAAAAGTCCATGAGGGCCACTGGAATTTGGGTGGGGTAGGGGGGTGGGGGGCAAATGGGAGGGCGGACAGTCTGGAAGTCAGGGCGAGGAGGGCTGGCGGCTGTACTGCACGTGATAGCGGTTGACAGGCACCCCGTGTATGCTGACAGTCTCACAAGTAGTTTTGCAGGGCAGCAGGTCCTCATCCTCATCACCCATCAGCCAGTCCTGGACCATCTCGGCTGCTTCTCGGTTGACATGCCTTGCAAGCCAGCGCCGGTGCCACTCTTCAAAACGCTGGTGATGCCGCAGCAACACTCGAGGTGCTGCCTGCAAGAGAGATGGGGAAAGGGGGAAGGATGGCGGGTGATCTGGGAGCTTTAGTCTCTCTAGCACAGAGGTGTCAAACTCAAGGCACTAAGAACTGTCTCCCAGGGCCACCTTGGAAACAGCCAATGACTGGCCCGTGGTGCCTCTGCCAGCAAAGACGGAGCTCGGGAGGGCCACGTTTCCGCTGGGAGATGGTTGCAGGAGGCCGTCGCAGCCAAAAACAGAGCTTGGGAGCCCCTTTTCGCTGGCAAAGCACTCAGGCCACCATAAGTGCCCCCAACATGAGTGACATCAAGATGGCCACACCCACCGTGGTCAACCCCCCCCCCCCAAGGTGAAACACAACCCTGATGTGGCCCTCAATGATATCAAGTTTGACACCCCGCCTGTAGCAGGTTGCTACCCAAAGGGGCCATTCGGGGAGGTGCACCTGTTTGGCTCGAGACAGCGCTCCTCGGCGGTACATGTAATCCTCAGCGTTCATGATGAAGAGCATCTTGTGGGTGTTCAACTTGAACTTGCAATCCACGTTGCAGGCACTCTCCACGCCAATCAGCTGCTTCCAGGAACTTTTTGCTTTGTCGCGCATGGCCTGGATCTGCTGGCACTGCCATCGCTGGAATTTGTCCAGATTCCTGAAAGGGGAAAAAGAGGAGAGGCCTCAACCCGGGTTACTTGGGGGAAAGGAGGCAGCAGGGGAAAAGTAGTACCCCAATTACTCTTCTTTAAATCTCTCTGGAACAGGTATGTTCCTAGGATCATTTGAAGTTACTGGAGACCTCCCAAAAGGGATCTATGCCCTGTGTTCTGGCCCAGCTCCCCAACCATCACAAACCCTCTGAAGTGAACTCAAAGATTCCTTTATTAGGAGCGCCAGCAGCCCTGGCAAAAAGTTGCTCTCTCTCCACAAGCTAACAGGTCCGTCCAGCAGGGAGATGAATAGTTGTCTGCCACATCTATTCATTTCTGCCCCCTGCCTTTTATCCCCGGAGCTAGGGTGGGGCTTTGCTAGCAGCGATGACTCTTCCTTCCCAAGGACCGGCCCATGGATTTCCACTGCTCTCCTCTCCTCTGCTTTCTGCACATCCGCGCATCAGGCACTGAACTCAGCTGTTCCTCCTCTTCCTCATCAGCCACCTCCAGACCTGGGGGCTGTTGACTCTCCATCTGAGGGCTGACGGACGGCCCAGGATCTCTGCCAGCTCCATTCCCTCTTCCCCCTCGGAGTTCTCAGGTTGCCTTGATGCCGACCCTGACTCCCACGCCTCCTCCTCCTCCTCTGATTCAGCTGATGGAGGGGCCGGCAGCCGACAAGCCACAATACACCCTGATTCCAAAGTTCCAACGGCTGACCCATCTCACGGTCACATAACCACATTTTGGGTGCTTGGGATTTATGGCAGTTTGCAGCATCCTGTGTTTACCTTTCATGATGTTTTTGCCAAAAAAACAGTGTTTACTTCCAAAGTTCGGCAAAAGTGCCCTACAGCAAGTGATGGGTTTGCTTAGTGGCCATCACAAAAAAAGGTCGTAAAATTGTATCAGTCTCACGTGATGACTCACTTTACGGCCTTCACAACTTATAACCATAATGGGCAGGCTCTATTACCAGACACAGGGGAATTCTGATCACCGTCAGCCAAAACGAAAGGCACACTTTTAAGGAGTAAGGTAGAAAACACTATTGTGGTCTGAAACTATACGCACACAGACTCATCGTCCTATTCATTTCCAGAGTAAGCAATGTTATGCAAAAGACGAGGGGAAATTAAAGGCATGAGATCAGAAAAATACAGCTGAATCTAGTGTATCTCATCAGTCTTTTCCCTACCTCTCCTTGTTTTATCAGGCACACCTTTCCAAGATCCCATTCCCGCTGC